GGAGATGTTCTTGACGAGGGGCAGTTTTTGGGACCAGTTGAGCTGGAAAACCTAAATACTACAAGGATGTCTCTTTCTGTATGCTAGCGAAACAGTTTAAATTCAATTTTGGCGACAAACTTAGAACGCACATGTGAGAGTCCAAATTGGAGCACTGTTGTTACACTTTTAACTTGAGAGCTAGGCTAAAAAGCTGCACTTTTACACGGTGTTTGCCGTCATGTGCGGACCCACAACTCTAAACTTTTCCTTTTTGCATGCCTTGTATGCGGACACGGCAAATTTTCATTTTGCAAAATCCTCGGCATCCCCCTCTCAGGGCAGTCAGACATACTAAAAACTGAAATATCTCGAGCCCTTACTACAGCTTCAGCTGACAATTCAAACGTGTAAGCAAAGAGCAACAAAAACATTTCTAAAATGAGTGCGCTTAACGAATTGAATATTCATATTGCTAAGGTTTTACCCCAAAACAAAATCACATGGTCATGAGGGGCCGCGTCTTTTTGCATTCAGTTAGGTCGGCTTCTCACTTTTTATGTGTTTTTCCATATTTGCGTAAATGCAAAAACGTATATAGTGATAACCCATGGGTCGGTGATTCTTTCCAGGTCTTTCAACTCAGCAATCAGGCAAGCCTTGACGTTGAAATTTTGCCAGTAGTTCTTCTGGCCAGACGCCATCCTTAGAAAGCGATGCCAACTTTCGGGTGCGTATGATCCCTACGTGCGGACACGTGAAAGTTTTGGTGGGAAAATTGCTAACTCGAGTACCAAAAAATCTGGGAAACAGAAATTTTAAGGGGTTCAGTTCCTAACTATGCCTAGTGTTCCTGTGTGCGTGCGTAAAACTTTTGGCGGGAAAATTGCTAATTCTGAGAACAGAAAAGCTCCGGCAGACTGAAATTTTGAGGGGAATATCCCCTAGCATGCAGTTTAAAGACTTCAAATTCAGTTCCCAAGCACATCTGGTTCCCACGTACGGGAACGTAAAATTTTTGACGGGAAAATTGCAAACTTGGGAGCCAGGAAGCTAGGTTATTTTGAGTAAAGTCAGGGGAAATTATTCATTCTCTTTCATGCAAAATTTGCAGTGTTTTACAGTACTGAGTATACAAATTCAATATAAAGTAACAACCATTCACACAGTTAGCGACTTGATTTCTTCAATTTTAGCGTAAAAATACATGATCACATCGGCAAGCCTGGTACATAGCAGCATAGGTTTCGCTGTTGTCTCTGTGCAGCAATTATATCTAGGCCATCGACATTGCGTTAGTGCCGTTTATTTATAACAATACGCGGGGCATAGTGCGCAGCATTACGCTATTTGGGCTACTGATTACGCTTGTAACAAATCAGCCTCGTGCACAGCAACTTGGTAGCTTTACATACTTTCAAAAAAAAAAAAAAAAAAAACAAGTTTTTTTTGGCTGGCCCTTCACTTGTCAGACAGTGCTGCGAGTTGTTAAATCCAGTGAAAATTAAGTTTTTATTATATGTTGTGCGTATGCTATTGTCTTCTGTTATTGCAGGTACCAACCAATGTAGCTGTTGCACAACGAGAAAAACGTCGATTTTATGTGAAAAAGTCAATTATTGGGATGCAGGAGTTTCGGGACTGGGAAGAGAAACTTGGC